GGGAGGCACCTCTGCTCTCCCCACACCCTCGTGGGAGGGAAACAAAGACATCTCCTGTCACTTTAATTTTCATTTTTGTTACAGATGTTTTCGTTTTGATTTTTTTCCCCAAATGCTTATCAGCCATTACTTTATGAATTACATTGTCGAGTCTTTTCCTCATGCTTCAGCCTGGCCTTCATCTTTACTGATTGGTGATGATTTACATACGACATAAATCAGCGGGCTGTCGTTATCTGTCTCGCTTCCCCTTTAGACACCAAAGCCTGTGCCTGCTGTGTCCCCACCCGCCTCTCCCAAGCCCTGGCACTGGGCAGGCTTGGGTAGGGGCCTCCTCATCCTGCAAGCAGGGGCTCTGGGGCTCCTAGCACTGAGAGGGTTGGGGCAACCCATTTATCATCAACTCTGAACTCCTGACCTGAAGTAACAAGTCCCTTTGTCAGCCCAGGTGTGGAGATTATAGAATAAAGTGCTCGCACATTTATCTCATACATGGAGAGCAGGTGGGGAGTGTGGGTAGCCCCTTGTTACAAATGAAGAAACTGAGGCTAAAAGCAGCTTCATTAAATGCCTAAGTGTTCACAGCCAAGACTGACTGGATCCCGGTCTTCCTTGGTTCCAGGCCCATCCAGCTCCATTTCTGACTGACAAGTACAATGAGAAAAACCTGCGGAGGCCAGGGGCTTCGAGGGCCTGGCTCCCTGCCTCCCCCAGGAGCCTGCACAGAACAGGGCTCGAGCCCATCCCTGGCACCCATCAACCAGCCAGTGTTGGCCAGGCTGCCCAGCCTCTCCAGAGCTCCCAGCTGGGACTGAGCCGGGAGGGAGCCGAGGGAGGGCAGCCGCACAAGGGCCCCTTTGTGCCTGTTGCTAAGGGCCTGGCTGTATTTACTCAGCCTTGGTAAACAGGAGGTGCCTGGAGGCCCTCTCTGTTATGACAACTTAAAGAGCATTTTCTTTCCTTTTGGAGTCTGCTTAAGCCCAGGGCTGTTTGAGGAGATTCCCCACCTCAGAGGGGCTTCCCCAGGGAGGAGTTGGGGTGTCATCCCCACAGGGCAGGGCTGGAGGACATCAGAGAAGTCACTCAGCTCAGCCCCTTGAGGCTGAGATGGAGACACTGAGGCCCAGAGGGAGGGTCACTGACTGAGGAGTTGTCTGCACAGCCTGTTTGGGGGTGTCCACCTGCCATTCACCTGGGCTGAGTCCCAAGGCCTCACCACCTTCTCATCATCCGGGGTTGGGAAAGGAGAAGCTTTCTGACCCCTCCCCAACCCTGGGGCCAGAGCCCCCAGAGACAGCGCACAGCCCAAACTGTAGCCACTTTTAATGGTCTACCAAGATACATCAGAATAGTTATAAGAACCTGGTGTTATGTTTAGTGTTTGCAGTTAATAAAATGCCAACTTTAACCTCCCCCCTCCCCCCCCCCCCCACTCACACAACCCCGCCACACCCCTGGGCAATATCAGTGCAAGTTACTAGCTAAATAGAGGATTTCTTCTCCACATATGCTTGCTTAGGGGCACCAGAGGAGCACCCAGTGAAGGGACCCTCCTTGTGACTATAAAATGTTTCCTCTACAGACATCTCACTCAGGCCCAAGGCAGTCACCTTCTTTAGAGAGAATGTCAAAGGGATATCTTTGAGGTCTCTGGTGACAGGCACGGCCCCAGGCAGCCAGGGTTCCTGTGTGACCTTCAACCACTGCCACTCTCCCTGGCTCCCTCCTCCCAGCTCTGGGCTCTACCTCCACCTGCCCTGAGGGCCCTGCCCAGCCCCACCTCACAACAGGGAACCCGGAAGGGCTGGGGTGGAGGCTTGAGGTAGAGAAGCTGATTTCTGGGGAGACCCATGACCCCTGGGCAGGTGCCCTATGGGTTTCCGCCTGGCAGGTGCTCTCCTGCCCAAGCCCCACCCTGCCCTCCTGCCCACACCCTGCACTCCACAAACAAAGGCCATGTGTGCCTGGACTCTGTGGACAATCTCGCAAGGACTCCTTTGTGGAACAGGGTGGATTTCCTCAAAGATCAGGATTGGCCATTCAGGGGAGGCCTCCTGACCCCCAGGTCATCCTTTATTGGCAAATAGCCCAGAGCTCGGGGCCAACCCCTGGGCTTGCTGGGAGCCTGCTGGCTGGCCACCTGACAGAAACACGCAGGGGCAAGTGGGTCCCTCCACCATGGGTGGCACACTCTGGGGCTGCCCCTAACCTAATGCAGGCAGTCCTGGGTTCTGGGACTGCTCCCTGTTCTTGTTATAGAGCAACCCCGATATTAAACGGGTTCCTGGCTGTGGGTCCTCACCCGCGCTTTAAAGGGACTTACGAATACTCCACTACAGACACACACAAAAGGTTAATAACAGGTTTATTTACAAGAGAAAAGGAAATAAGGAAAATGTACAACTCAGGGAGAAAATAGGGAAATAAAGTCTTTAATGCGTCCTACCCGATCCGCCGACCTGGAAACCCAAAGGCACTCTCAGAGGTGGCCGGACGCTGCGAGCTGGCGGAGAGCCAAAATGGGGGACCCCTCCAAAGCCCATGTGTCTGGCTTTATACCAACCTGGCTGCTTCACCCCACCCTCAGGTCCCAGCCACCTTCCCTTTGGTGGGGATGGGATTTGGAGTTCCCAGTGTCTTTGGCTTTGGCCTGGGGTGGGGGTGGAGTCCACAAAGCCTGTATGGAATTAGCTTTGGGACATCCTTTTCCCCTAACATTCTGACTCTTACTGCTCCCTGTTCTGACTCCTCACTCCACCCCAGACTGTTGTCCCAGCACTTTCAGAGCCAACCTTGGCCCAGTTAGTGGACGGGATGGAAAAGAGAAATTCTCATGGGTGCTGAGCCCCATCTCTGTACTGCCATCATTGCCCCCATTTATGGATAAAGCCCCAGGTGGCATGTGGGGGGCTTATAGGATAATGTTGTGGCAGGAGAATGCACCTAGAACCATTTTGCTCCCTGTTCTCAGCTGCTGCCGCTGAGAGGAAGCAGAGCTTCTCCCTGCCATGTGTCAGCCGGTGACACTGCCATGTGACCCTTCTGCTCTGAGCCTCAGGGGTAATAAGTACTACCCTTCTTGTAGAGTTGGCACAGTAAATCAATTCAGCATTTTTTGATCACTAAGAATATATCTCATGAATCATACTCATTACATAAATCAAATATAACATTCAGCCAGCTCTGCTTTTATCAGAAAATACATACATTGCGATGGGATGATAACGAGAATGGCAAAGATCACAGGAGGGAATTGTCTTGGGGAAAACAAAACACTCAGGTCCGTGGATTCTGGAGACTTCTTTGGCTGAGTGAATCTAGGGGCTTCTGGACTCTGCGTCAGCATGCAGTGGGCTGGCCTGGTCCCCAGGCTGGCCCCTGGGCCACTGTCTAGGAATTCTCTGAAAGCCAGCTGAGCTAAGAGCCGTGCTCTCTGGACTGGTGACTCACCGCCAGGTTCCAGTTTGGGCCTTTTTCTCCTGGGCTTTCAGTCCCAAATGCAGCTGTGGGGTCACAAGTGCATCAGCTCGAGCTTCTCTGACACAGGCTAGTGTTTCATGTACCGTCCTGTGCTGAGTACAGGACCCCCAACAAGGAACCTGGTGGAAAGTCCCAGCTCTCGAGTGCTCCCAGGGGCTCTGTGCATGTGCCAGCACCATGGCCCTCAGGTGGGGGAGGAGGGTGAAGGGACCGTGGCCAGAGGTGAAGGAGACCAACTCGAGGTGGCCGCACAGATGAGCTCTGGCTCAGCCCAAGCCAGGCCAGAGCACAGATGCCCCAACGGGTTGCTCTATGCCCCATCACAGAAGACAAACCTAAGGCCCCAAGAGGTAAGGAGACCGACCTGAGGTCGCAGGGCTAAGTAAGGGGCAGAGCAGCGACCCCCAAGTCCTCAGGGGTTCATGTTGCTTCAGCAGCCAAGACTTGGTTCATGTGACAGACACACAGGCCAAATTTCAACACTCCCTTTCCTGGATCCTTCTTTCTGTTTTGTTTGGGGGAACAAGAAGGAAAGGGAGGGGGGGTCTGCCAAGACAGAGAGGAAGAGCTCATTCTGACGACAAACCCAAGAAAAAGCCCCAGCAGCCAGAGAGGGCCAGATCTGTGGCCCAAGTCTCTCTCTAGGGTGTCTCCCTATTGACCTTTAGGTCAAAGGTGGCGAGGGTGAAGGTGAGGGTGAGCCCCAGAGGTGGGTCCCTCAATAAAGCATCTTTGACACGTGACTCTACTGAACAGCCTGAGATTTCAGGGACACACCAGTGCCGAGCTCTTTGGGGATCATCCTGCAGGATGATGGCGCTGAGCTCCATCTTGGGTGGCCGTGGGGTATGTTTCAGGTGAAGTCAGGATGGAATAGGTGTCATCAGTCACCCTGGAAAGAATATCCCTGAAAATCGACTGCCTGCAGGGGCTGGGATGGAGGAAGGATTTTCTCCTCTCCCTGGACTCGTGTTTTTAGCTCGAGGACTGAAGAGGTCCTGGTGATGAGTGAGCTTCCCCAGGTTACATGGAGGCAGCTGGGGGATTAAAAACAAGCTGTGCCTCGTTTCCCACTGCAGGTCATAGAGCGTCAGCAGGAGCCCAGAGCAGAGCAGCTTATGGGACAACCCCGGAGCCCTCGCCTCCATTTGGGGCGTTATTCCTATCCAGCCTGGGAGGGGAACAGCCTGGGGTCGTGGTGTTCCCCACGCCTGCAGGTACCCACAAAACTTCAGCAGTGCCCCCCCCCAAAGAGCCATGCCCAGGAGGAGCCTCAGCAGACCCAGAGCAGAGAACAACCCCAACACCTGCCCTGGGAGAAGCTTCCAGAGAGCACCTGAAGGAGGAAGCGCCTGGGGAAGGGCACAGACAGCAGGGCCCGCGCTGCAGGGGGATGGGGATACTGGTTTCCAGTATCCACGGGGTCCCAGAAAAGTGGGAGGGGGACAAAGCACACTTCAGCTCACTGCCATTCCATGCTCGTTAGGTAACAGATCACCTCCAACTCTTGGTGGCTCAAAACATCACTTTATTCCTCTCTCCCACAGGCTAAGTGGACCGCTTGTCATGTGGCTTGGCCTGTGGGATCTGCTGGGGCTGGTAATCAGTGAAAAATTCCTCCACGCCCCGGGCTTCTGGGACCTGGGCAGGGCTGTCTGCGTGGCCTGCCTGGTTTGGGCTTCCTCACACCCTGGTGCTGGGTTCCAAAGAGGAAATTCCCCAGAGAAGTGGCAGAGGCTGTGCAGGAGCTGGGCATGCTCAGTGCGGCCTTTTCTGGCCCAGCCTCAGATGTCACATCACATCACTTCCATCAGACGCATGGGCCTGCCAAGATTCGGGGGGAGGGAGCACAGACTCACCACCCAAAGGGAGGAGAGAGGCATCAGCTGTAAGAGGAACAGGTGGGCTGGGAGGGTGGCCGCCATCTTTGGAACATTCCTGGGGTCTCAGCAGACACTACTGAGTGCTCCCTAAGTCAGGCAGACACTGTCCTAAGCACTGGGACATGGCAGTGACCCCAAGACAAAAGGTCCCCGCGAGAGGAGCTGATGTTCTAGTTGAAGATGACAGACCATCCACCAAATAAACAAGCAAATGGCATGTTCGGTGGAGGGGAGTGCCAAGGAGGAAAAGGCTCACATCAGTGGGCCGCGGGAGGCCTGGGGGTGAGATTCCAGGAGACAGGTCAGCCGGAGCTGGGACAGGAATGTGTCCGGGAACCCAGGAAACTCAGCCCAGGTCAGCAGGGCAGGAGAAGAGAAGGAGGGAGGAGACATGCGTCCACACACACGCACACTCACACACACACACCCCCACGCACACATGCACGCATGCATGGAAGCAGCAGAGGGGGAGCTGAACATGGCAGAGCAGGACTGTGCCAGATACAGGGCTTATCTATGGGAACTTTGACTTCTGCACTGAGCAAAGCAGGGGCCACAGAGGGGCCATGAGCATTTTGAGCAGAAGCAGAGGACAGGATTGGGCATAAAAGAACCTCCCCCTGGGCCCCACCGCACCCCAGCCTCTGCCGGGTCATCTCTCATGAAAGGGGACTCACCCCTTGTTGTTTATAGGGCTTGTCTCATCAAGAATGAAAATAAATCTCTTTGTAGCCCCCCTTATTATGGGGTCCCCCATGCCATGATGTTTTACAGGGGGAGATGTCGGCTCTCCAAGAGACTTCTCCACACTAAACCCCACCCAGTTTTGTTTTGTTTTGTTTTATTTCACCAATCGCCTGACTACTCACCCTCCTGGGTCTTTCTAGCTGTCCTCTTTCTAAAGAGAGGTGGACAAGGTCAACCCCAGAGCCAACTCAGACCCTCGGCCCGCTTCTGTCAGCATGGTTTTACTGGAACACAGCCATGCCTGTTGGTTTACTCTCTGTGTGGCTGCTCGGTATAGAGTCAAGTGGCTGCCATGGAGACAGTGTGACCCACCAAGTTTCGAGTATTTACCATCTGGCCCTTTGCAGAGAGTATTGGCTGACCCCTGCCCTGAATGTGGGCGCGTTAAGTTTCACGCTGACTTAGATGCTGAAAGTGGACATAAGAGGTCAGCAGAGGAGGGGGCACAGCAGAGGCTGGGCTTTTGGGGTGCACAGTCAGGAAACCCCAAAGCACAGCATGGCCACACTTCTATATATTTGCAAGTCAAATATCGGATTACACAAACACATATTTTTAAGTCAGCCTTCATATCTAGTTCTCTGCAAAGGTTTCTGGGAGAGGCCTCTTGTTGCGTAAACACAGATTTCTGTGTGTTTTTCATAAATTATCCGCGTGATGGCCTCAAACCTTACCTGAGTTCATCCGTAAGGAGAGAAGTGGCAGGGAACAGAGCAGGGTGGTATCCTGAGCTGCAATTAAAAACCACAGATTCTTAACTCTGAAAAATAACAACATTAAAAACCACAGTGGGCAGGAGGCCACGAAGGGCTGAGCGTGAGGCTGGCTGGAGGCGAGTGGCCGACCGCGGCTGCACCAGGGGAGCCAGAAGTCAGCCCCCGCCTGCCCGCAGCCACCCCCCAGGAAACTTGGACACTCCCCGGACTTTCCAAAGCCAAGGTTTTCTCAGTCACTATGGTCATGAAGCATGAAAAGAAAGCCCTGAATTGTTTTCCAGGAAGAAAGGGAGAAAAAGAAAACACTTAAAACACTGCCATTTTAAAAATACAAGCTTTGTCCTCAGGCTGCCTAGAGAAAACACGTAGGCCAGACTTCCAAGCTGGCCAGAGAAAAGAGAGAGTGAAGCGTCTACCTCTCCTTAATGGTATCTTCCAGAGTCTGTGCCCCCCACCCCCATAACTAAACCCTGGAGCCTCTCTTGCAATGCACTTGCCCTGGGTTCTGGGTCCATATCTTTTTAGTAGAAACCTCACCTTCCTCCCTGCCAGAGGCTGTGAGAAGTCTCCACGAGGCAGTGCAGGGAGAAGTTCCAGGGGGAAGTAACCACAAGGTACCCGGATGGGCTGCAGGAGCCAGGAGGAAGGAGTAAATGGCATCCCAGGGGGGACTCTCCTGGGTCACTTCCACCCACACTGGGACACAGGGATGCAGGACAGACCGTGGACACCAATGTCCAAGCATCTTTTGAAACGTCATTAATAAAGTTCGTAGGTGAAGGGCACTGAGTGTGACAAGGCTGAGGCCACAGGCAGAGCTTCAGCCTGGGACCTGGAATGCAGAGGGTGGGAGGGGCCAGGTCAAAGGGGCCACAGAATCCTCATGCCCAGGCCCGGCTCTGGGTTCAATGAGGACACCCTGACCTCCAGGGTCACCTCCCCCAAGGTCCTCTGGCCACCCAGACCACTCTCTCCTGCTGCCCAAGCTTTTTCTATGTTGTGACCCAGGCAGGGTGCCTGGAAGCTGGCACCAGACCAGATTCTCTTCCTCCTGCTCAAGAATGTGCCCAGGTCACATTTGGTGTGGCAAGGCAGCTGCCCCAGCTCAGGCCTCCCCAACCTCAGCCTTTGGTTGAGGTCATTTTCTTTTCTCATTTGTCCTACGAAAAAAAAAATTTCTCCAGTTTAGTGAGCAAGCAGCACCACTCAGAATGAGCCTCTAGGGAGAGGATTTGAGCAAAGCAAAGAGCAGCGTGCTGTGCTATGGAGGAGGTTAGAGGAACAGAGTTCAAGCTGGATATTTTAGAAGCTGCCTATGACCCAGGCAGGCTGCCTAGATCCTCTGAGCCCAGATCCTCTGTGCATGAATGAGCGGATCTGTAGCATTCTAGTGTTTCTTAGCAACCACAGAGACGATTCATTTATCATCTAAAGTCAAAAAGGGCACAATAAATGTGCTGGCTGAGATCAACTTCAGGGACCACCTGGGAACCCCAAAATACCTTGTGAGAAAAACTGACAGGCTTGAGTGGGCCAAAACTTCTGTGATATCTATCCCTGAATCCAAGCACTCATCCATTCATTCACCCCACCATCTTTGGACGATTTTTCCCTTTGTCTTCCTTACATTCTTCTTCTTGTCTTTTGATCCTTCCATCCATCAGTCCAACCACCCATGCATCCATCTGCCTAATATGTCATCCTAGCTTATTTCCTTGCATCCTTCATGCATCCACCCCACCCAACTCTTCCTTTACCCATCCATGCTTTGTCTCTTCTGTCTTCCTGTCCGTCCACCAACCTCTTTAGCCTTCCATTCTGTATCTGCCCTTTTCTCTTCCAATCAGCATCTGGTCTTCCATCCTCATGCCTTCACTATATCCTTGTTTCTTTTCCTTTTTCCTTACTTCCATCCATCCATCTTTCTAATCATTCTTTCTTCTTTTCTTTGTCGACACACCTTTTTCTACCCATCAATATATGTATTGATTGCATATTTATGAACACCTACTTGAGTTAGATACTGCTTATATTTAAACATTACATTTATATTCATGTTCAATCTGAATAAACCATGAGCCTATTCTAGAAATATCTCACAGGGGAAAGAGATAGCCAAATACCTAAGGGACAATATGAGAAATATGATATAATAGATGTATTCACAAGAAATTGTGCCAGTCTGAGAGGGAATTGCCAGCTCTGGGGTGGTCAGCATGGGTCTCTCTGGACATTCTTGAGGGATTTGAGGAGTGGGTGTGTGTTACTCAGAGAGGGAGGCCTTGGCATGTTCCAGGCCAAAGAAATAGAATGTGCAAAGGCATAGAGGCATGGAGATACAACTTGGAAGTTTCTGACACATAGTAAGAGGAGAGAACTTGGAGAGTGGGAGACAGAAGATGAGCAGGGATCCAGTTTCTAAGGCCCAGACAGGCCCTGCTGAGGAGTTTGGACTCTGTCCTGAGGGCACTGAGAAGCCTTGGAAGAAAAAGACTCATGTGGTTGCAGTGGGGAGGACAGAATGCCATGTATGTGGGAGGAGGGGTAGTGGAGACAGACTAAGGAGGGGTAGTGGAAGTCACTCCAACAGACAGAGGACAGAGGATGGCTCCAGGAGCTATGGAGGTCAGATGAAGACTGAGTGGAGTTGAAAGTAATTTAGGAAGTAGAGGGAGCTGGTGATGGACAGGAGACGGGGGAGGGTACAGAGGTGACTCCTAGCAGGGAGGCAGGATGATGATGGAGCAGGGGAGGGTGGAGGCAGGTGAAGAGGCTGGCTTCAGCAGGGATAAGTCCGGGGCCTGGAAGCATCCTGAAGGAGGGGTCCAGTTGCAGCACCTGTGCAGGTTTGGGGCACAGGACTGAGAGTGTCTTTGTAGCCTCTGAGTGTATCCGATTTCCACAGGTGACCATTCATTTGCTTGATAAAGACTTTCTGCATTCATGGACCTGACTCCAGCACAGGCCCTGGGATGCCCAGGAGCAGCTGTCTGCTTCCCTGGCTTCCTGGGGCCTGCATTCTGCTGCTTGGCAACTCCCCTGGGGTGAGGTGACCTGCCTGAGGACATGCCATCAGCTGGTGGCCAGGTCAGAGTAGAAGTAAAGCTCAGAGGAGCTGCTGGGTGGGGCATTCAATTCACCCAGCTCTGCAGGAAGCCCAAAGATGCTCTGGCTGCCCTAACTGCTGGGTGACTCAGCAATTGCCTTTCTGCCCAGAACCCAGGAGCTGAGGTGAGGGGTCTGCAGGGGACACAATGGGGACAGCAGCGGGGTAGCCAGAACTGTCACCCTTCAAGATACCACCTGGTTTCCTCTCTCTCTTCCTACTGGAACCTGTTCCCCTCCCCCATCCTGCTCGTCTCCTCTGCTTCCTGCCCCCACCTTTAAGTTCTCACCACACCTTCTCTTTGTTCCTGGGCCTCTGCCTCACTCCTTAGCCTGACCCTGGGCATGAGGTTCGGTTTGCCCTGGAAGAGGGGTCGAGTCTGAGAAATGTCACCGACCACCTGAAGAATCCTTCACCTCCTCTGTAAAGTAGGGCCACCCAGACTGTGGCCTGGAGCAGCTTTGTGAACTACGGAGCAGCTGTTGGGAGTTGCTGGGCTGAGCAGAAGCTGAGGCCTGCACAGCGTCAGGCCCAACTGTGATAACAGATGCTCACATTTTTAGATCAGTCACTAGACTCCCTCCAGGCATTATCCCATTTCATCGTCATGAGTCTATAGAGTAGATCCCGTTACCATCCCCTTGTCATAGATGAGGAAATTGAAGCACAGAGGGGTTAAGTAACTTGCCTGAGGTCACAGAGCTGGGAAGTCATGGGGCCTGGATTTGAATCCAGACAATCTGGCTCTAGTCCCCACGTGCCTCTGCAACTGTGCTGTGTTCTCTCAAGGATCTGTCCTTGGCACTGCCTTTTAAGTAAAGGCAGGGCCGCTCTTGCCATAGATGAAGAACAGGTGGCAGGAGCTGGGCATGCTCATTGTGGAGAAGAGATGGCCTGGGGACACCAGAACTGTGGGGGACTCTTCGCATCCCTTTCCCCATCTCTGTCTGGTTAACTCCATCTCTTAGGACTTCACCCAAGGGTGTCCTTCTCTGGTTGCTGTCCTCCCAGATGCTTCTGGAATACAGGTGATTATCTCGTTGCATCCAGCACCTTCTCTGCACCAGACTTGGGGTTAAGTATTTTGTGTATTCTCTAACTGAATCCTCAGAGCCCCTCTGTCAGGACTTGGTTGGGCTGGACAGGAGTCTCGGGTGGAAGCAGAGCCCTCTGGCACCAGCGTAGGGAAAAATGGCATTTATGTGGAAGCTGCAGGGTGTCTTGGGGAAACTGGCCTCACAAGGGATTGCAGTCAGACGCTGTGAGGATGTCAGCCCTGTATTTCCTCCACCTCCCACTCTCCCCCACACTCAGGGGCCACGGTGTCTTTTGTCAGCACTTCTCCCTGTGATCCTGAAGCTTCTGGAACAGAAGTCTGCTCTGGGCAAGAACAAATTCTCTTGGTCAGGTCTGCTCAGACGTATGGGTTCTGCCTGGGAATCAGTGACGCCGCACCCCTGCGGACATTGACGGGAAACAGGGAGATGTAAAGAGCTGATGGGGGCCGAGCCCAGGCAGCCTTGCCAGGGCCCATCCCACTTAAGCCACCTGAGCTGCGAAATCCAGAGGCACATACCAGATGCCTCCTCAGCGTCTCCCCTGGGCTGTCCAATGGATGTCTTAAAAAGAACACAGTTAAACTGAGCTCTGTCCCCCCAAACCTGTTCTCCACAGATTTTCCCACTTCAGGGTGTAGCAACTTTACCCTTCCGGTTGCTCAGGGTCAAAACAGCAGAGTCAGCCTGGCCTCCTCTCTCTCTCTCCCACATTTGATCCCCTGCAAATCTTGTTAGTTTGACCCATAGAAGTTCTCTAGAACCTGGCCTGACTCCTTCACTGCCCCAGCTACCCACCTGCACAAGCCAGCAGCGGCCCCTCACCAATCCCTCAGCCCGAGAGTCCCTTCCAAACATAAGTCAGAGCAGTTTCTTGTGCTACTTGCAACCTTGCCTTGGCTCCCAGCTGACTCGGAGCAAACTCTAGTGTTTAAAGTCACCCCCAGGATCTGGAACCCCTTTTCCCGTCACCTCCTCCCCAGCTGCTCCTTTCTGTTCCTTCAGCGCACCAGGCACAGCGCCCTCTCATGCTCTCTGCACTGGCTGTTTCCTCTGCCTGGAACCCTGTTCCCCCACATCTGCGTGGCCAAGCCCCTTACCCCTAGTCTTTGTGACCTCAGGACTCACTTTCTCTGTGAACCCCACTCTGACCTCCATACTTAAAACCACAACTGCCAAAAAAAAAAAACCCAACCTTGCAATTGCCCCCGCCCCGAGCCCATCGCGGGTGCTCCCATTCCCTCTTACCCCGCCGGGCGTTTTCCTTTTTTCCCCATAGACCTTACAACTTTAAATATACTATATAAATTATTTTATTATTTAGCATGTGACTCTATTCACTAAAATATAAGCTCTGGGGTGCTGACATCAGTTTTCCTGCTCACTGATAAATCCCAAACATCTAGAACACTGATAAGACAAGATAACGGAGAGATGGCTATAAGTAAATCAGGAGCCAAGGGCCTGAGTATTCCCCCTAGCAGCTGTCAGGGAGCATGGGGTCCCCCCTCATATCTGATTTGGAGAACCAGGTAAACTAAATCCAGCCTCTCTCTCCACCTTACCCTCTCCCTCCTCCCCACCTGTCATGCAGAGTGAATTTCACCCCTGAGGGGGGCTGGTTCTTAACTGTATCCACAGAGGGCTCAGGATGCCAAAAACTCCTGAATTGTACCCAAAATTAAGGTTCAATTGGGGTTTGGCAGGAAGGCTTTTTCTTTCTTCCCACAGCATTTAACGCCTCTGACATACTATATAATTTACTTATTTATTGTTTCTAAATTTCTTCTTTATTATTCATCCAATTCTCAAAGGGCTTTCTGATTCTAAAGGGTTGAGAACTACTTGACTCACTCACCCTGTGGCTTTGCTTGCGGCCAGCAGGGCTGCTGACTCCCAGACCTATTCACTGCTCACCAGGCTCCCCTTGAGTCTGTGACTGCAGTTGTCACCCACTTGGAAAGGGGATAGTCGAGACCCTGGACCTCCACTAGTCCTCAGGTGCTCTTTTCTTGGCTGCCAACCTGGCGATTCCCAAAGTCCCACAGAACCTGCTCTTCTCCTCAGGTCTGAGCCTGAGTTGTGCCTCTTAAGATAAGCAAGAGCAAGATGCAAGTAAGAAGAGCAAGATGATGGCTGGAAGGTGGCTGTGGTGCTCTCCGTGGTCCTGAACCACCTCACTGGCCCCTGCTCAGAGTGAGGGTGTTTGTTTGGGAAGGAGGGGCCGGGAAAGGGGAATTGTGTGATCCCAGAGAACTGCCCCCCATGGAGGTTACATTTGCCTTCCCTGGGATTCTAATCCCACTACTTTGTTTACACTAAACTCTCTGCTCTTTGAGGTCTTGACAAAGCTGTCACCCCCTCAGGGAAGACTTCTAGGGCTCTGCAGAAGTGAGAGTGGTCTGCTCTGTGTTCCCATGGTGTGCTCTGCCCCCCACATTCAGGTGGTGGGGAGCACTTTCCATTTATAAACTCCCAGTCTCTCTCCCACATTTCTGTATCCCCAGCACGTAGGTGATCCCAATAAATTTTAGTTGAACAAATGATTGAATGAATGAATGAAATGAATCAGTGATAGAGGGCCTGGGGAAGGAAGGACCTTCCTGGTTTGCTTTTACCCTTTGATTCAGCCAGAACAACTATGCCTGACTCTGTTCTAGCAACATGGGAGAGAAAAAAGAGGTGGGCATGATCCTGCCTCTAAGGAACATATGACCTGCTAGAGGAATTAACAAAGGCTGAGAACCTGAGCCCCATTTTACAATGGGGAGACTGCGGCTCAGCAAAGTGATGCAATCCTTCTGTAATCACATAGCTAGCTACAACAGAGGTGAGACCTGAATGCCTTGGCCTTGGGCCTACCCCTAACGATGTCACCATGCCCCCTCTAGGACAGGGTTCACACCCTGTGTAATCAAGTCATCAGACTAAATCTCTCTCTAGGGCAATTTTCCAACTCCCAGTTTCCATAGAAAATTAGGAGCATAGGCACAGTCTCAATTCTTTGAGTGATAGCAGCCGAGGCCACTCAGAAAGCCCTTTGCTCCCAGTAAGTTATTATTTAGTGTAATAGCTCAACAAGGCAGGTGGCCACTCCTTCCCAAGAGCTGGGTTCTTGGCAGCAACCACAAGGGCCTTTCACTTGGACAGTCAAGGTTTCTGGGAAGTGAGGTAGGTGTGATATGACCCAGCCTGACGTCAATCTGGTCAGTAACCAGAGGTCCCAAGATAGCCCACATCACATCCTCTGCTGGGTCTGTGGAGCCTGGGAAATTCCATTGCCATCGTCCTGAGGTTTTGAAGGGGTAGAGACCATAGGCCCTGAGCTCCTTTCAGTTTTCATGTCATGGACTATCCCAGGTATCCACCATAGCCACACAGCTTGTGTCTGCCTCAGGGCAGTCAAAGCCTGAATTCTATTAGGTGCTAATGACAAAAAAAAATGGGCTAAATATGTAGTTACTCAATAAAGGCCATTTTCTTGAAGGACAAAGGTGTGAAAACAGGGGTCTACAGAGGAAAATATACACAAAAGTAGCTGGGTAGTTGAAAGGAGGGGGTTGCTGGTTAAGCCAGGACCTACAAACAACCCCCCCCCCAAGCCAGGTAGTTGGCCTCCTGCTGGGAATTGAAGCTCGGTCAGGTGGGGGGGAGGGACAGGGTGAGGGAGAGTGAAGATGGGGCAGTGGGACCCTGTCAGGCAAGGCCAGGGGAAACTGCTAAAAACTGACTTTGTGACTTTCTCACTTTGGCTGAAAATTGGAGCTGTTGAGCAGGCACCTAAACAAGCATCCCAACAAACCCCACCTACCACTATCTGAGAAAGTGGGGGCAGGTGTCCACTCCCCAGTTCTCCCATTGTTTTCCTCTGTCTCCTGGCTCTGAGCAGCTGGCCTGTTCTCCAGGTCCTGTCTGTAATGTCCTCAGGTGCACCATGGCTGCTGGCCACACAGCTGAGCCCAGGAAGCACAACCCAGGGGCTTAGGAGGCCCGTGCAACCTTGGAATCACCCAGGCCATCTCTCCGCCCCAATGTCCCAGCTGTAAAATGGGACAGGCTAGATGTTCCCTGAGGGCCTGGAGGCCAGTCATGCCAGGGCCCCCATCCTAGATTCTGTGGGGGGAGGGCCAGGTCTCCACAGAGAGGCCATGCTGGCCCCGAATCCTGGCAGCAGTCAGCGCCCGCCACCCACGCACCGGCAGGCAGGCGGGAGGCAGGGTGCTGCAGCCTCGTTGCCAAGCACAGAGAACTTTCCACTGGGTCCAGGTTTCCATCACCATGGCAACTTGGGGGGGGCAGGATTCCTCAGAATTCGAGGAGATTATATGGGGGAAGGAAGAATAACAAAGTGGGCCCTGTGCAGGCCTCAGTCAGCAGCGTCAGCAGCGCCTGCCCCCAAGTGGACCCCACATTTCTTCTCTGTCCCCCTTTTCCCTCTTTGATGTTTCTCTCTGTATCCTTCCCTCCTTTCTCTAGGTTTCTCTTTCCCTGCTCCTTCCTGGAGCACTTGCTCTGAGGCTAATGCTTGCTAAGCACCTACTGTGCACCACTGTTTCACACACGAGCTCTTTAATCCTCCATCCTCTGTGATAAGCACTAAGATCATCCTCATTTTACAGACGGGGAAGCACAGGCCCCGGGACATTGCCAGGTCACACAATAAGCTATCACCCTCATGGGTGGAGAAGCATCGTCTCCTCCCCAGGCCTCACAGGGATCACACACCCCCAATCAAACCAGCCCTACAAAATGTCTCCCTGGCCCCAGGAGTCTCATGATCAAAGGCACTGTGGCTGCATCTCTGGTGTGTTATTCCTGCCTCCATGGGTGGGTAGGATGGACCAGCTCAGCAAGGGCACAGGGAAGGGAAGATAGTCATCCGTGGGGCAGACAACCGCTCACTCCAGAGCAAGACTGGGTATTAAAGAGCATCCACCCAACCCCCCCATCTCTCAACTTCTGTGTGTGCACCTCTGAAGATGAATAATCCCCCTTTGTTGTTTTAGGGGGTCTTCCTTGGCACAAATAAGAATAAGCCCCTTTGTAACTTCTCTCCATCATGGATTTTACTCTGGAACCACTGAGTAAACACACCTAACTCTCCACACTTCATCCCACCCAATTCTTTTATCAGTCCACATTCTGCAACCTCCAGAGCCTAAACCAAAACAGGCTTTTAGATCTATCCTTTTTTCTGAATTAAGAAGTGGCAAACTAGACCCCAAGGGCCAAATCCGGCCCATGACTTGTTTTTGTAAATGAAGTTTTATTAGTGCACCACCTCATTATTTGATGTCTGCTTTTTTGGTACAAAAGCCAAATTGAATAGTTGAGACAGAGACCATATGGCCCACAAAACTTAAAACATTTATACCTGTGGCATTTCAGCAGCAACCACCCAGTATTGGTTCTGAGAAAAGCAGTGATCAGCAAAAATGCCCAGGTTGCTTTTTCCAAGACCTTTTCTAAGATGAACTCCCCCAGCCCGTGAGTTATTTGGAACTTGCATTTATATTGGTTCATTTCCCTTTGTTACCTTTGCCCCAAACTTTTGCCTTCTAGAGGTTTTGCTCCATGCCTTTATATATTTTGATCCACAAGTCTCCATCCATTTATGAGCGAGTCTACCCAATTTTATGTTTCCCATATATTTGTTCCATTTCCTTTCAGTGTGTTCATCCAAATTGTTGATTTGAAAAGAGCCCGTGGCATGTCAGTGGAGACTGGGTTATTGATCTGTTAATCAATGCTCCTTAAGCATCATTAATTGGCTTGGTGGCCCACCTCAACCTTCAACCCACAAGATTCCATTTTACCACATTATCAGCAAGGATGTTATGAGGTATTTGTCAAAATTTGACTGGATTTCCATTCACAAAGATACTGCTCTCCTTTTAGAAAATGGAAGGACAGAATAGAAGAGATTTGGGGAATCACCTAATGGATTCTCTTTTCTCACAGATGAGAGACTGAGGTCTCAAATAGAGAATGGTCCAAGATGACAGACTGAATTGGCAGTAGAGCCAGAAGTGTGTGACTTGGCATGACACCTTGATGATTCTGGCTGTATATTAGTCTGGGTAGACTCACCACCCTAACAGGCCCAAACAGGCAACAGAGCATGAACGAAGTCATCTCTGCTCACACTAGTCCTGGTTAGGTAATTACAGTGATTGGTCAATTATCCTGCTTCCACCCTTCAGAGACCCAGGCTCCTTCTATCTTGTGGCTCGGTCATCCTCAGCAAAATCCACCTCCAGTTGACAAAAGGGGACAGAGACTCACCCCTTCAGGAAAATCCTGTCTGCATTGATGAAATCCCAAGTGACATTTTCCTGCCTTTCATGCTCTATTCCTCCAGATATCTGCCTTCTCTCAGACCCTATGCCCCATGCTCCGCCTCTCTACCCATCCAGAGGGGACTGCTCTGGGCCCAGAGCTGGCCAGGTGGGGAGGGCCTTAGGCCAAGTCACCAAGCAGAAAGGAGTGGAATTACTTGAGCAGCTGGTGTGCATCCAATAATCATTCATTCTGCAAGGAGGAAAGGGGGGCCTGTTTCCCCCTCATCCTGTGGCAGGAGAGAACAGGAAGTGGCAGCTGGCAAGTTCACAATTGGAGTCTGCCCACACAGACTCACAATTTCTTCTCTCCGAATGTAAACGTGCCCGGTGCCACGGCAAAAGAAACAGTCCCTTCCCGAAACAGAATCAATTAGGGGTCTACTAGTCAGGCCCCCTGAGTGGCCTTCTTTGTCAACCACTGCACCATGATTGGATAAGGTGGTGAACCTCTGACCACCAGTCGGTTCCCTGTTTGTAGTTTTCTGGAAATCTGTGTTGCTCAAGTCTGTGCTCTTACTCCTAGCATTCAGGGGCTTCCTCTTCAGGCCCAACCCTTTGCATCTCTCCCTGCCATCTCCTCCAGTCATGTTCTTCCTGGAATGGCATTGAGTCTACAGAGCCAGGCGATGCCTGATTCTGTCACTTAGCAGTGGTATGTGTAATATCTCTGTGACTCGGTTTCCTTGTCAGTCAAATAGAATTAGTAGTTAGCAGGAGAGAACATGGATTAAGTAAAGCACAGGTGTGTAGAAGAGCCTTGTCTTCTCTGTGCCTTTTCTTTTTCTCACTTGCACCCTCCAGGCTTCCTCTCTGCCTAGTCAGCTGCCACTTGAACCTTGGACTCTGCCTCCAGCATCTTCAGATCAACCCATACCCTACTCACCCCTTTGTTTCAGTACTAATTGATAAGGAATAGCTACTGATCTGTAACCTGAATAAAACTCGGGGCTCCATGTGAATCAGTCTTTGCATGAAGTTGCACTCAAAGTCAGTCTTAAGTAATTTAAAAGACATTTCATTTCTTATTTTTAAAAAGCAATCAAATTCAGGGCCTCCCTATTGGCACAAGGGGGTAAGCACCGCACTATGAAGCAATTTGCAGCCTCTGCAGCACGAGTTTGATCCCCGGCCGGCCAGGGAGCAACCCACATGGTGCAGCAGACCTCTCCTGTCTCACCTGCTGCTCCCCTCAGCAGTGTACTTCAGTAGATTTGCCTGTCTCCGGTAAATCCTCTCACCCTCCCCCATCTCTGGCCTGTACCCCAGCTCTTGTATGCATAAATAAATAAATCTTAAATAAAATAAAATATTTTTTTTTAAATCAAAAGCAATCAAATTCATAACATATAGCGGACTTCTCCAAAGCTCCTTTGGCATCCCTATGTTCTCATATACCTGCAGCTGCAGCTCTCACAAGCCCACCTGACACTTTCTTCCCACCACCACCTCTGCGGTTTTTATTCTACTCTCGCCCCTCTGGTTCTTCACTATGCACATTGCTGGGGCAGAGGGAGGTGGTGTGAACACTCACAGGTTCACACAGCTGTCCTCTTCCTGTGTATTTAGGTCCCCAAGGGTACCTCGCTTATCTAATTATAAGATCCTTGAAGAAGATATTGAATTCGAGGGTTGACATTTTATTTCATATCATTTCAAACAGAAAATAGCAAAAGGTACTTCCTTATATTCTTGACCAAACCAATTGCTTATTTTTATCCCATTTGCTTTCTCTCTCTTTACAGATAGATAGATGGATATATATATATATATATGCATAGTAGATGGCAATGTTATATACACACACATATATATAATAAATTACAATTTTTCTGAAATAATTTGCAAGTAAGTTGGAGTTACCATGTTCTCTAACCCCTTAATAATGCTATGTGAGCTTGCTAAGAAAAAGAACATTGTCTTATATAGCCACAGTATAATTACACAAATCAGGAAATCAAACATTCCAGCTACATAATATCATCTATTCCATAGTCCATATTAGAATTTCTTCAGTGATCTCAATAATGTCCTTCATTGTTCTTTCAGTTTCCCAGCCCAATCCAATGTCTTGAGTTGCTTTTCATGGTCATACTTTTTTTTTAAAGATTTATTTATTTGTGCATACAAGAACTGGGGTACAGGCCAGAGGTGTGGGGGGTGAGAGAATTCACCAAAGACAGAGTGGGGATCAGAACAGGCAGATTGACTCAAATACACTGCTGAGGGGAGCAGCAGGCGAGACAGGAGAGGTCTGCTGCACCATGTGGGTAGCTCCCTGGCTGGGGATCGAATTTGTGCTGCAGTGGCTGTGGATAACTTCATAGGTTGTGTTTTTAACCCCTTGCTCCACCAGGGCGTTCCCATATGGTCATACTTCTTTAAGAGGAAATATTTTATGCTTTATGATTTATCCTTACCCCTTTCCAGAAGTGCTCAGCACAATGCTGTGAACATAATAACAATCAGTAACCACTTTGAATTGAATTTGGATCAAAAGATTTAGTAGTAATAATTGTAGCATCTCACACCTATGAGAAACACCGTCAGTTATGTATCAGTAGTCACTCCCCCTTGGACTGGTGAATGTGGTGGTGGTTGCATGGAAAGATGGGTAGACAGATACATGAAGGACAGTTCGGTTGCAAATGGGTGGACAAGGAATAACTGGGTAGAGGGAGGGAGGGAGGGAATAAGTATATAAATGGGTAAATGGAAGACTTAGTGGATTTGTGGATGGATGACGGATGGTGGGTGGTCGAAGGGATAAATGGTTAAAAGGGAGAATTGGTGGATATTGTTTGTACCCAAT